AGCTTACTTAATTACTGCGAGCAATCAGGGTTCTTCTTGTTGCTGGACTCACTTTCGTTGCATTATCTATAAGAAAGCGAAGTGCTTCTGTTGGAATTTCCGGGATAATCTTATAGCTGTGAATTGAAGAAGTCTCTAATTAGTGCGAATGCTATTCGCAACTTGTCAAATGCAAAGAGTGTTGGGAATCTACTTAATCATGCACAGCGAAAAATAAATCAAATTTCAATTCTCACCACGGATCTGCTTTGTGTTTAGATAGAAACTGTGTTTAGAATAATACATTTGATGAATTTTGCAAACTCCTTTGCTAATTCTCGAACTCCAATGATCACGATTTGCAATACAAGCTGTCCAATTGTCCGCTTCCAATGGTGATCCACACAGAGAACAAGAATGAGGGCTAGGTTTTACTTCTCTTGTACTAGTAAGAATAATGAAAATTCTCTACAATTTACAAACCCTAGTATCCTATTAATACAAGCCCAAGTGGGCTTGGTCCATCTCTAAACTTAAACCGATCCGATATTTAATTAATCAAATGAATTAAATCCGGTCAATGAATTAATTAATCCAATTAATTAATTCGGGCATATTAATAAACAATCCAATTAATTAATCAACCAACATTTGTCAATTAATTAACTAGTAAAAATTAATTGGTAGATCTCATTCTTTTGGTTCTCTTTTGTGTGTGACCTATTAGGTTCTCGATCACGATATCTAACGACGTGAATTATTATTTTGATCTAGTCAAAATCGATAAATTAAAACACCCCTTTTAATTTATAACTAATTCACATTCGTCATCCCAAATTGATATCTAGCAATGTATTAGGACAATACATGTGATGGAAAATGTCACGTGATGTGACAAACCAAACTTGTTCGTTTACCGTGAAATTATAATAATTTCATCAATATGATCCAATCAATAATGAGATATGGATATGTGTCAATCTCAATTATCGATCATATCTTTTATCCCAGTGTTAAGTCAATGTAAGTCGAAAACTCTTTTTCGACTTATGAGTTCACCTTGGCCAAGGATTTCATTATTAACTTAAGATTATATCTTTTATCCCAGTGTTAAGTCAATGTAAATCGAAAACTCCTTTTCGACTCATGAGTTCACCTTGGCCAAGAATTTCATTATTAACTTAACTGGATAAAATGTAGATCATAATCTCTTACTATCTAAGAGTCACGAATTATCTATTGATCATTCACAACCTTCATATGATTATGTATTAGCGACCCTTGGTAGAGCAACATCCAACACCATCAAAGTATGACTGTCCTCATATAAGGTCCTATGATGACCGCAAGTCAAAGGACCAATTCCACTACCGAACGTTAGAGATTAACCACCAACACTCAGATAGTTATCCATGTGGAATCTCCCAATGGGTCTCCAATGTTTTGTTTTATAACAAAACATCCACGTGTTCATTCAAATGTCTTGTGAGATCAGCTACTTACTTCACAAGTACGATATCTGTATTCTATTATTTAATTTATCAGAATATTGATTCAATTAAATAATAGATATTGCCATACATATGCATTGATTATATATATATTCAAAGTGTTTATGTCCAAAGTTGATTGGACCTAGGGCATAACACTTATGTACAGCGAGAGGGAAATGCTTTCTTGTCAAGGGAAGACTCCTTTGAGATACTATTTGAGGATGGATACTGCCCTTTGTTACCCCCCACTACTTACAGAAAGTGNGCAATTTAATAACTTGTGAGAATTCATTCTTTATTTACGTTGTTTCATTGTATTATCTTTCCAATGAGATGATACCGCCTTAATACACGTTTAGATCATTGATGAGACCTTAGTTCATTTGCTTGCACGATGGATCCATTGTTATCACAATACAGAAGCGTGTAATCAACAATATTAGGAACTACTCCAAGTTCATTAATAAACTTCCTGATCCAGACCACAACTTTTGTTGCTTTCTAAAGCAATGCTGTATAAGGCTTCTATTATTGAATCAACTGTTATTTTCGATTTGGAATATTTCCAACACACCGTTTAAGAGTAAACCAATATCCTAATTGAGATATGCTATCATTCTAGTTTGACTAGAAGTTAGTATCAGTGAATCTATGATATGCTATTATTCGATCAATTATATATGTGGACTCTTGAACTCCTTCAAGATTTATTCTGCATGTGATTATATCATTACTCTTTGGTAAAATAGGTCACATACATAATTGTTGGTGACCTTGTCGTGCCGAATAGAGAGATGAGCATTCTTACTACATGTAGGACTGTCAATTAATTGAATTTTGATCCGAATTCGATGAAATTAATGGGAGATGGATTTAGGGTTTTAATCCAATAATTAGATTAACATCTGAATTTGATAATTTGTTAACTAAATGAAGCAAATATGGATATAGGTCAATCTGATAACAACCTAACCCATTTTGTTATAATAATATAATATATTTTATATATTATTGCATAATTTCTTACACATAATCTTTTTTTCATTTTGAAACATGTACTATATTTTATACATAATTTTCAAATAATAAATATTATTAGATAATAGTATAATATTGTTTATTGAAATATTTGGAGACTTTTTAATTTTTTATTAATTAAAATAAGATAAAGGTCGTTAATTTATTTTATAAATTAAACAACCAAAGTGACCAACAGTTGGAGTTGCTTTAGTTGTTCCCAACTTTTCACATCTGATACTCACTAAAATATCACAGGATTTGCAATCTATAAATAAGTGGGTCAAGAATTGGGTAAAAAGTTATTTGAGCCTTTAATTCAAGGGTTTAGAAGTTGACTAATATAAAAATTTTATCTTCTTAATTTCTTCAATTACGGATCAGATATTCGATAACATAGCAAATTGGATATGGATTTAACAATAAAATATCCATTAAATTATTGGATCAGATCGGATAATTATTCTTATCGGATATGGGCAGATCCGATCTTTTTATATCCCTAACTGCATGACATTCCCCTCATTGCAAGATAACAGGGACACCATCTCCACATAGACGGGCATTCACACGGTAATCCCTCGGACATCAATTCTCAGAAACTCGTATTGTCTTCGACACCAACCTTCATCATATGCCCCATAATCATTTGTCCATCGAATGGACAGCCTCCATCCTCAGCGTCTCAACACATGTCGAAGCAAATACACAATCTTCATCATTGTGCCCTTAAATATGCTCTCCACGAGCATTCACACAGTGCTCACTCGCACAATGCCTACCTTTTTCATCCATCTTTTCCACAGCTTCCTGCATCATGTTCCGCTAGCTTGCCAAGATGATCTGTGACCTAAAATCTTTTCTTCTAAAAAAACGCATGCCATTGATCTCCCACAACCAATAATGCACATTCGAGTGGTCCCACTCTAATACCAACTTTCACAGACCGCAAGTTTGGCTCCTGAGATTCCACGCCTCAATGAATCCCTCCCCTCATTCTTAAATCGACGAGCCCAAGCAATTGACACACGCACGCTATGAGTCGGATGTTAGATAAATACTTGCATATAATCATATCATTAGTACACTCTTTGATAAAATAGGCCACACGTCTAGTTGTTGACGACTTTATCGAGCTGAATGGGAAGATAAGCATTCCTACTGCATGACACTTGGTGTCAACATATCATAAATTCTATTAAATGGATCATAATTCCTTATATTTAATAGAACATATAATTTAATGACACTAATGCTGCCACATAAACTGATATTAAATATCAATGATACTAAATAACATTCCTTCAGATTTATTAATGAGTAGATTTCTTGGAGGAATTGTAGGTCTTTAAGGTAAGTGGTTGGAAAGTGAGATTAATTGTCACTTGTTCTTGATTATTGCATTACTGATGACTACGTCGGCTTCTGGAGTGGAGATTACCAAATGAGACATGCTACAGGTACAAGAATTCAAATTATTGTACCTGTCAGAACACACACAGCAAGGATGGGTGGGTGGGTTTTTTTGTCAATATTTTAATTCACATGGGACCCCACCCCATGTGAGTGAAATTTGAATTCCTATTATTTTTTCTGTAAGCACTGTTTTTTTCTTACCAGATAGATTACTTCTCACTCTAATGGGGTTCTGCAAATTGCAACATGAACAACCACTCTTGGCCATCACGATTACCAAATGGTGATTAACTTTACGATACATGGCAACATCTTGCGTCCGTCCATATAAAATTTCCATCCTGTTTATCAGAATAACACTTCGAGAAAAACAAATATTATAATTCAAATTAGAGCAACTAATAACCTAAGCTGGAGATTTCGCATGAGTCTTTACGTCTCATATCCAGAATCAACAAGCTCAAGACAAAATCAGCAAGAAACTGGGAATTTGCCTTGTTAGACACGATGGGCACAAAAATTCACCATGATGCATTTGATTGTGAACATAAAATTTACATGAAAAAAATAAATTGTAGACAACTCAATTACTTAATTAAATGCATTTGATTCATTTACTTTTCAACTTAGAAAATATTATACTTGCCTATATTTTATTGATGGGTAGATGAGAGAGAAGGGATAGACAAAAGAAAGTAAATTATTTGAAAAATAAAAATCACTCATCCCTAAGAAAATATTTTCATTGTTTTCAAGAAAAATATGATTACATGATCAAAAATTGAAAAATATTTTCCATGAAAAAATTGTCCATCAAACACCACAAAAGTAGGAGAATTCGAGTAAAAAAATGACATTATCCATGGTAAATAGAGCCAATCTAACATGCTATAATAAAAATAAGGGATTCTTAGATGGCAATACATGACCAAAGATTTGTTACTACCAACATAAAATCAGTTTCTGACCATACTTTTGTGTTTTAAAAAACAAAATAGATTGAAAGCTAAATGAAACAGTACTAACTAATCCTGAGCAAAGAACAAATATAACAGCCCAAATTTATGGTTTCCACTCTGATCAAGAAACAAGACTTCACTTCTTCTTTTCGCCACCTCCAGCAGCCCTACATAAATTTACCAAATGATATAGCAGTTAGAAACCATCAAGTCTCAACAATTCATTTTAAAGACCACATTGGAAACTCAGAAATAAATGGAAAGCTCAATCCACTTCAAGTGAATACTAGTTGAAATTTCTCAATTGAAAGGTGAAAAAATATATTAAATTCAGAAGGGCCGTTCTTTGGGAAGATTACCTCATTTTCCGGAGAACGCTAGACATTTCCTCTCTCTTCTTCTTGGCCCTCTTGTGAGTGCCCAACTTTCTCTTTGCCACCTTCAAAGCACGCTTGTCCTTGCCAACTTTAAGCAACTCAGTAATTCTCTTCTCATATGGTGCAAATCCAGCAACTTCCCGAATAAGGCTCCTTGCAAAGTGCACTCTCTTGCTCGTTTTCTAAGTCAATCAATAGATTGAACAAAACAAAATAAAATAAAATACTACATACATTGCGAATGATAAGTTACATTTTAACTACTTGTCAAGTTGCCTCTTCAATTAGCTAACATATGACTCCATACCATAAATTTACTTCTGAAAACCTTAAAACAAGAATCAACTAATGAAGTAGTCTGAATTTGAAGAACTTTCTCGGTATATGGTTGTTGACAATTGTTTTTATGCTAACATAACCCTATAATCAACACGAATTGAGAGCCCATAATTAAATTTCCCAAACTTTTGTACATACACTGCGTACTTATAGCTTATTGTTCTAGCATCAAACACACTAGGAGAAATGATCTGTAATGCAAATTTGAGTTATTTGAATCAAGAGCATGTTCGGCTAAGATCAGATGAAGTGTAGATGTCTGCAAACATGTTTGGATAATTTCCTATTTCTAATTTTCACCAATAAAAGAATTATTAGTTTTAAAACTTAAATCACTTGTAAATATAAAATAAACCCTTTAAATTCAGCCAAACATTTCTAACTCATATGGAACTTCATCGTCTTGAACTAGCCAAAAAAAGAAAAATTGAACTTGCCACAAAAGCATAGATGAAACTTACCCCTTTCCTAGCCGAGGGGCGGGGAGCTAATTCCTTCGGGGTCACAACATGGCCTTTGTTCAGGCCAACAAATAAGCCAGTATTTGGCTGCTTTGGAGACATTACCTATATGCCAATAACATACACAAATGCACTATAACAATTTTCTAAAAATCCCAACAACAAATCATACTATTATCTGAGCTGCCCCTAAACATTTACATGTCCAGGAGATGATATATTTCACAGAAATGATTCTAACAAAAAACAAACTGGGTTTTTAAATCTAACCCACATGAAGCATGATCATAAGTACAGAGATAAAATAAACATACAAACAGACATACGAGAACAAACGAGTAAATTTACAGAAGCATTGTATGTTTCAATCATATTGATTGCACGTTTTACCTTTTCTTCGATTTGTCTGATCTGCTGCTGGAACGCGGAGGCGAGAACAAAAACTAGGGTTTTGCGAAAGTGGATCCTTTTATAGTGAAGTGAGAACGAGGAGAAGATGTCTGGGATACTCAAATCACTAGGGTAGAATTGTCAATTTCGTTTGTTTATGTTCGATAAACGTCGTCGTTTGTTACAAGAAGTTCGAGAATGTTGGGGGGTGTTAACTAATGCCGCGTTTGGCATAGATGAAAATATTGACTTCCCTTGTACATGAATGAAAATTGATCCAAACAAATATGATATATTCGTGCACATAAATATGTATGCTTTCGTTTTTTATGTTGAATTGATTCAATTTTCGATCTTCATTTAAATTTTTAAAACTTATATATTACTTATCGTCATATTCTAATCATTAATTTTCTTACTTTAAAATTGTAATTGCTATCATACCAATCCTTAATCATTATATTCGTCAAGTCAAATATTTTTGTCACATTATCCTATCCTCATACTAGGGATGGCAAAAAAATTCGATACATGCGGGACTCCGCCCCGAATGGGGCGAGGATAAGCCTCTTAATCGGGTATTCGGAGCGGGAACGGGTAACGAGCGCCCCGCCCCGTTTAAATTTTTATTTTAGAATTCAATACTTTAAATAAAAAATTTCACAAAATTTCATTAATTTTAATAGAAAATAGCAACCAAATTTATTTGACTAAATCTAATGAATAGGGACAATAAAAATAAATTATCAAAAAAAAATTTAATGGGATAATAAACGGGGCAAGAACCCCGTCCCGCCCTCCTTAAACGGGTAACAAGATGGAGACGAGACGGAGAATTGCTTGGCGAGGCGCCCCTGCCATCTCTACCTCATACCCAAATAAAACGAGACAAGGTGAGGCGAGACAAGTAAACATTATTTTTTTAAAATTTGTTAATATTCTATTTAAAAATCGTGATATATCTATTATTTTTATTTGATAAAAATTTTAAAATTAACTTTAAACCGAACATGAACTATGTTTTCTGTACCTGCCTCGTACCTCGTCAAAACAATTACCCCCGTTCCCCTGTTTACCCGATTAGACGACAAATATCCGTACCATTCAAGGCGGGCTCCACAAGTATCGAGTTGACGAGTTTTTTTGATATCCCTACCTTAATCTCTGTATTAGCCTTGACTTACTTTATAATCATACTTCCTAGAATCTTCTGAAGAAATTGTGAAACTACTAGAAAATAAAAATTAATTTAGTTTTAAATTAAAAAATAAGTTTTAAATTGGATAACTTTTACTATCACATATTTGGGTAAATTTCGTCCATAACCACTTAACTTATAGAGAAATCATAATTGAGTCATCAAATTGTGATTTACCTCAATATTAAGTTAATAATTTCAATTTGATTTCAAATTTTTCCACCAATGATGTTTAGTCAAATTGACGGAAATTTCTATGCCTCCATTTGGATAAATTAATTTTGAATACATATTCATAATTATTACTCATTGTTATCCTCACATTTTCTCGGATTTGCTACCATACTTCTTTATGATATATTTATAAATTTGTCAAATAGGAACTTAATTGTTACTTGTTAGTCATTTTATAACTAACCTTCAATATAATCATCATGTAGTGCTCTAAAATGGTAGTGTGAGGGCTATAATAAGCCCTTGTCTGGGCGCACTTTTAATCTACCAAAAAGGCCATTTTTTTACCGTTGAAAGAAGCAACGGTCAAAAAAACAAAAATGGCTGCTAAAATCTGTGTCTTGTGTGTCAGAGCAAACATCTCAAAAATCAATTCTACCGGCTCAAGAATCACGCCTAGACAGGGTGTAAATATCTTTGCGTTGATTAGATGACGTTTCTTTATTTTTATTTTATATTTCTATAATGTAGCATAATGATAAATTTGCGTGTTACATAGTAGTTAATGTAGAAGGTTTTTTGCAGCATGATACCAATTAATCAATTTAATCACTTTAGGATACGATTTGAGTTAGATTGATGATATTTTATGAATGTGTAATTAATAATAAGTGTGTAGAATTTTTTTTTTTTTTTTGGCTGTCAAACGAGCTAAAATTGAAGGTTATGATAAATTAAAAGTTAATAGCCTAATTGAATTTGTTCTCAAAGTTGAGGACAGTAGATGAAATCTACTTTTCAAATTTCAATCCCACCAGTGGTCAGTTGAGACTGTCTGGGAAACGGTGAAACATTTTCTTATATTACCCTAAAAAATGTCTCCCTCTTTCTCCATCATTAAAATTTCTGTCAATTTTCTTCTCTGGTACCGAAAAGCTTAGCAATGATTAATACACCCAAATGCGAAACTGCAAACTTTTTTGCTTGTTTCATGCCCCCGAACAAGCCAGCATAACAGACCCACCTGCTGAAATCCAGAAAAATCTTAATCCCCCCCCCCCCCCCCGGGTTCTTCTGCAGTTTTGATGCTTAAATTTCTCCATTCTCTGTATTAGAACTGAATTCTGATACTTTGGTTGCTTTTATCTCGATATGAATAGTTGAAAATCATTGCTTTTCCGCGTTCAGGTTCAATGCTTAGTGAGTGGGAATCCAGTTACAGTTGTTTATTGCTACCGCTGTACTGTAATCAATTTAAATTTGATCGAATCTTTGATTTCTCTGAGAGTTTGTCTTAATTGCTTGTTTTTACCTTTTGTTTCTCTTTTTAAGTGGATTAAGGAAGTTTATAGTCGTTGAAAATTGTGTGCGCTGAAGCTTTTTGGTGGTAATCCTCTAATGGCTTATCTGTTCGTTTATTGATTTTATTGGAGCGTTAAATATCCCTTTGTAATCTTGTATTGATAGAAAACCATATTTGAATTTTCCAATTTCCAGTCATCAATTTAATTTGCCTTACTTTCATATACCACTTCAATACGGGCATTCGCTTCTTACGAACTGTTGGATTGTTATCCACGTCTTGTGTTCATAAAATAATTCCAAATAGCACAAATAAACAAATAATTCTTTGTAGGGTGTTTTGATCTTGAATCCCTTTCTCGCTTGTACCCTTCTGAGACATTCAGTTGAATCCCACATTTCCTTCCATTTATGTTATTATGCTTAGATATTAGGAGGTAATGTCAATTCTGTGTGGCATCCCGCTTCTCGAGTGTGTATACTGCTTAGCGTGTGCACGGTGGGCATGGAAAAGGTGTCTATACACTGCAGGTCATGACAGCGAGACATGGGACCTTGCCACGGCTGAAGAGTTTGAACCTGTCCCAAGGCTCTGCCGATACATACTGGCTGTTTACGAGGATGATCTAAGACACCCTCTTTGGGAGCCTCCTCAAGGGTATGGAATAAATCCAGACTGGTTAATTATGAAAAAAAATTACGAGGATACACACGGACAAGCACCCCCATACTTGTTGTATCTTGATCATGATCATGCCGATATAGTTCTTGCTATTAGAGGGCTTAATATGGCCAAGGAAAGTGATTATGCCCTTTTGCTTGATAATAAGAAAAGGAAATTTGATGAGGGGTATGTTCACAATGGGCTGTTGAAAGCAGCTGCGTGCGTGTTCAACGCTGAGTATGACATTCTGAAGGAACTCTTGGAAAAATATCCGAATTATACATTGACTTTTACAGGACATTCCTTAGGATCAGGCGTGGCTGCAATATTGACTATGCTGGTGGTGCAAAATCGTCACATGTTGGGGAATATTGACCAAAAGAGAATAAGGTGTTTTGCTATTGCACCTGCCAGGTGTATGTCGCTTAATTTGGCTGTGAAATATGCTGATGTCATCAATTCTGTTGTGCTTCAGGCAAGTTCTTATGTAGTTTTTGCAGGTTTTTGTTTTGCTTAATTTTGTGGGTTTCGTGACATTAGTTTCAAATTGTACGTATTTTATCTATATAGCATAGAGCTTTCTTTTCTCGAATATGGAGCTTGCATAGGCAGAAGTTTTGGGATAAATATTTATAGAATTGGTGTTCCATTCCTCAAAAATGTGCACTTCTCCAATTGAATTTTTCATTTCCATCTATATTGTTTTTCCAGTTGCCACTTGGAATGATGTAGAAGCGACAACTGGACTACAATGTAAAATGGAGTTTAATTGTTGCCTGAGCACTTACTTGGCATGAATTGATATGGTTCGTCTGGTTCTGCTCGTTCAGTTGGGGAATTCGCATCTTTGATTTATATAAGACCTTTTTCCTAGCAGCTGGTAAGCCATGCCAGTTCAAAAGAAAGAAAATCTAGTAGTCCCTTCCTTTTGTCTTGACAGATTTCTTGCTTCCATCATCTTTTGCAGTTTAACAGCTTCAAGCACCTCGTAGTCTGATTTTGACTCTTGCCTTTTTCACTCAACTGCCTTGTTATGGCAAATTCTTTCTAGCTGGCTTAACCTGGAAGATTAAAAATATTGACCAGATCATGTCTATCCAATCGACAGATATGTGAGAACATTCATTGACTATAAATACCTGTTTCAGGAAACAAAAAAGCTTCAGTTACCCTTGTAAATAAGCTAGCATGTTGATATTGCTCTTTTCTATGTCAACACGTGTACTTCAGTTTGAAATTCGAGGGTAATTTGCATTCAGAAGGGATTCTTTTCATAGTTATGGGGAAATAAGAATGTAGAGCTACGCATATTTTCGTGTGGTGTTTGTATTGTCACTTCATATGAACAAATTATTTTGGTGTTAATTGAAAGTAATTTTATTAGTATCAGCAGCACTTCCAAATAGATGGAAAAGAAGTAACATTTTCCCATGTTCTTCTTTCTGTGTTTTTTTTTCTTATTATCATACATTTACATATTGCAGGAACTTCTTGCTTCCACGTGTATGTATGGGAACATGTAATACAGCAACGCATTAATGAATTTTAACGAGCCTATTCCTTACTGATACAGGATGATTTCTTGCCCCGAACGGCGACCCCCTTGGAGGACATCTTCAAGTCACTTTTCTGGTAAAGCACTTGTTGGGTTCTTTTTAATCTTAAATCTCTTTTGCTGCAACTGAAGACCCTTATTTATATAAGCGTCTACTTCATGGACAGTTTGCCATGCTTGCTGTGCCTAAGGTGCATGATGGATACTTGCATACCAGAGACGAAGAAGCTCAATGATCCAAGAAGGTTATATTCCCCTGGTCGCCTTTATCACATTGTTGAGCGCAAACCTTTCAGGTATGCAGGAAGTTGTTATTATTTTTTTTTAAATATCCACTAATACTATGTTAATATTTATAAACTAAATTTGGGGAACGTGTATTATTTTGACCAATAAATCAACTAAATGATACAGCGAAAAGAGAAAATTGTTTCACCATTATAAATCTCACTGAGCACAAACTTGGACTTGTTGCTAATTTACATCCTAATTCAGCCTGTTATCTTCATCACTTTCTGATATATGACCCGAATCATTGATCAAAAGTTTTGTCAACTTTGCAACATATGACTCTAAAAAAGGATGCTATAATTCCAGAAATTATGTGGGCAGTTTGCAATTTTATTTACTATATCAATGATTGATTAATTTGGCCTACCATGTCTGTTATGCACATAGATGCGGAAGATTCCCTCCAGTTGTGAGGACAGCGGTTCCGGTGGATGGAAGATTTGAGCATATAGTTCTCTCTTGTAATGCCACTTCTGACCATGCCATCATTTGGATAGAGAGAGAAGCCGAAAGGGCTCTTGAAGTAAGTTTGTCTATGGTTTTTTTTTTTAACCAACTGTTGAAGCCTCGAAAAAAATTTATCAAATGATCTCCAACAGATCTCGTTGTCTGGGTATTAACATAATAGTAGTTTATCTTTCTGTTTTTTTCATGAAATTATTTGATCCTTTTGACCTCAAACATATAACTGGGTGTTTTTCGATAACTACTTAAAACTGCAATCTCTCTAATGCTCTTTTACGGATTACAGCTGATGCGGGAGAAAGATGATAGTCTACAGGTTCCACCAGAACAGAGGATGGAACGACTGGAATCGTTAGCCAGAGATCACGGTGAACAGCACAATGCTGCTTTACGGAGGGCTGTTTCATTGGCCATTCCTCACGCCTTTTCACCTACTCAATACGGAACATTTGACCAAGACGCAGAGAATTCTGGGATATCATCTTGCGATTCTTTGGCAGGATCATCCATAAAACACAAGAACAAGGAGAGCTGGGATGAACCGTTCCAAATTTTTTTTGAGAAAGATGAGTCTGGTCTCTCTTCTTCTGAAGACACCACTTATTGTTGATTGATTGTGTTACTTAAGTATCCACGCTGGCCCTGTAAATGCAACTCCAGTAATATTCTTTATTCGAAATTTTCTTTGTTAGTTTGAAACTATCTTTATTCAATTGAATACCTATCTAGGTACATTTAACCCCCTGTTCGACAGTCATTATTTAAAAACCTTTTTTTATACATATTCATTTTCAAAAACACATTCACACAATAAAATATTCTGTATATAAATATAAGATTTTTTCCTACTTTTTAATCACATTCTTCTAAAAATCATTATTCAAACATTGTCTTTTTAAAATAATGATTGTCAAACAAGGGCAAAATATTATCAATGTTCGACTTGATAATATCATAGTAGTTTGAATCCATGGTTATTCCTTGTAGAAGAAATTCGCTAGAGTCTGAGCCCAGAATGACTTTATTTTCAGAGTCGAGCATTTACTTCAAATATGCTAAAGTCAGGTAGCGAAAAGTATCATGTTTAGGCATTATGTTATGCTTTATCACTAATATGTTCTTTTTATTCGGAGACCTGTACAATAGATATCAAGTTCCTGTTTGATGGGCATTAAAATCAGATTTTTAGTTAATTTTGATAGAAGTTGATAAATTATGTAGTTAAAAAATTGTGGATCCAATGAAATACGTGATTAGAATTTTTTATTGACTTTGACATTTTAATTTTCACCAGAGAGGGCACAAATATAGATAATGTGGATGGTGGATAAAAAATGTAATAACTCAAATTTTTAAATATGCAAGATTAAAAAGTGAGAATTACACTATGGCAGAGTTTAAAGATTGTAATTCAAAAATCGGATATGAGACTTGCTTATCTATAAATCAAGGAATAATTCAACTATTAATAGTGACAATAATATTATATAATCTACCCCACATCAAACCCAATTTCATCCCAAACCATGAAAATCATTTCGCTCTCCTCTATCTCTATCTTCTCTCTTCCCACTCTCCACCTAAATCTGGCGCTGCCACCACATCCATTGCTGGAGGCTATTGTCGTCGTCGCACCCACTCTCTCTCATTGTTGGAGACACCACGACCTTACAATGAGGAGCGCCGCTCCACCGCTATGATCACCACCTCATAGGGACGCTCTTAGCGAGCGTCGTTGTGGTTCGGTTGGTCTTTTTATTGTTTTTGGTCGTTGGTGATTTGCTTGGTTGTGGTTGTGGTGGAAGTGCAATAGAAGTGGTTGTGTTGGAGTGCTATATTGGTGATTGTGGTGGAATGTTGGTGGTTGGTGGTTTACTAATTGCCATGCCGATGTCGGTGTGAGTGCTAATAAGGTTTTGGTAGTGCTGGTGAGGTTGTGGTGACTCACAATTTGTTCACAGGTGTCATAGTGTGTAGGTCGCAGATCAATGTTCGCATTTCACAAATCAATTAAAATTGGTCACATATCAATATCCACAGGTCACAGACATTGATTTATGGTCAAAAGTCACACTTCATAGGTCACGGGTCATATTGTATATGTCAAAGATCAATGTAATCAGGTCTCGTATCAATATTAAGTGGTCATAGATCATATGTTACACGTCTTTGCGCACTAATAATAGGTCAGAAATTCAAATTTATAGGTCATAGTTCATATGTTAAAAGTCACGGGTAACAGTTCACAGGTCACAAGTCATTTTGTATATGTAACTTATCAATATCTATAGGTCACATATCCAAGTGAATTAGTGACAAGCCATTGGATCTATTACCTATCCAACAGGTCAGAGATCCAAGATAACTAGTTACTGACCATTTGATCAACCTCACATGTAACAGTTTACATGTAGTTTAAATCATACCGTCAAGAATTCGTCAATTGAAGCAGGGATGGTAAAAAAAACATGTCAAACCCGTTACTCGCAGGTTGGGGACGGGGATTACCCGCTTAACCGAGTATTCGAGTCGGGTAACAAGGGTCCTACGCCGTTTAATTCTTAATTTCTTTTTAAGAATTCAATATTTTAAATTGAAAACTCTATGAAATTTCATTATTTCTAATAGAAGATGACAATTAAGATTATCTAAGAAATATGGCAAACAATAAAAATCTTAGTTTACCAAATATATTTGAATAATTTAACTTTTAAAAATAAATAAATATATTATTGTTTCACTTTAATGAATGGGGGCAATACAATTAATTATATATATAAAAAAAATAATGAGCACCCGGAGGGGAGGGAAAGGTTGCTTCGACCTCGGTCTCGACTCACCCCGTTGCCATCCCTAAATTGAAGTTCATTAGACAATCTGTTAATCCTCGTCAATATTTTGCTAAATTAAAAATTCAAACAAGCTGCTACCCTTTGAGATGTTGTACTCATGGATCTTGAATCAACGCCTTTATCTAAACAAGCTGGGTGGATGCAGGTAATTGTGAGAGGGGATGATGATGGGTAGATGCTAGTGACTGTGAGAGGAGATGGTGGCAAGTGGATGCTAGTGACTATGAGAGGGGAAGTCGAATGGTGGATGCGGTGGTGGATAGATGCCGATGACTGTGAGAGGGGACGACGACATATAGATGTTGGTGACTGTGAGATGGGATGACGGCGGTGGATATTAGTGACTGTGAGAGGAGACGGCGACGGGTGGATGTAGGTGACTGTGGCTGGACTAGAGAGAGATTGGAGTGGTTGAGAATTATTTTATATTTAAGATTATTAATTATCACCTAAGTTTTGAATTTCTAAACCTTTTCTGATGGAGATCAGGATAAGAATAAATATAGAGCTATATTTTGATAAGGATTTTATAATAAGAGATTGATTTAAAGTAGATTTAATTAGATTAGATAAGATTCGTTTAGATATTTTGATAGTTATTAGAAGTTTGTCTCCTTTTAGATTCTTAGTTTATTTTCTTTGTAAATAGGGAGACTTATTCATTGTAATGAACAACCTGATTATATGAATAAAGATTGAATTTCCTCTTGTCCTAAATTCTTCTCTTCTTGGACCATTTTTCTTTCTTAATATTCGATTGTTCTTTAACAAGTTATACGCATCCAGCATCAATTTTGCATTAAGGCAATTTATTTTCCTTTGGCTTAGCATCTTTCATTCTCAAATCCAAAAATTTCACCAACAATCAAATAAATCGTTTTCATCCCTTCCATATACTTAGGGGTCGGCAATGGGTCAGGTCGGGCTTGGCCCAAAACCGACCAAACCCGACCATACCCGATCCGATATACCCGATTTTGGGCTCTTTCACAAACCGAACCGACCCGGCTCCTATCCTAACCCGATCCGGCCCGGGTCGGGTCCTTCCCTTTTTTTTTTTTTTTTTTTATTTCTCCGATTCCATAGAAAAATCCATGTTTCCAAAATAGATTAACAAAGGAAAATGGAACAAAATATGTATAATTCATTGCACCAAACAAAAGCCATTAAAAATGTAAAACAAAAAACAAAAACTCATGTGCCAAAACACGTACAGCAGTAGTGCAATGTCATAGCCATCAGCTGAAAGGGCTGTTTGTTCAATACAGAGTAAAAATTCAAGAGCCAAATAATGCAATATAAATACTACGGTAGTATTGGTTCAAAAGAACTTTCTCCCACAGAATGCTAGCCGAAAAGCCCTTTGTCTCTCCTTCATTCTCAGCCCCTATTTGTAACTGATGAGTTTTTGTTTGTTCGTGGGATGGACACGAATCACGAGGAAAAGGAAGGCTGTATAGAGAGAATTGGTCAAGGACAAGTGTAAGGATAAAGGTCAATGCAGCAGGAGAGTATGGAGATGAAGATCAAAAGGCCTTGATTTTAGAGAAATTAAGGGGCTGTTCACTTTGTGTTTCAGTTTTGTGTTTTAAGTTTTGAATTCATTTTGTATTTTGTATTTTGAATGTCTGTTTTGAAATTTCTGAAAATGCGTTCTTTTTGCCATTCTGAAAAACTGTTTCTGAAAACATAAAAATGGAAAACGCGTCTACTTTGAAATTTTGAGAAATTTTTTTAATAATATTTTATTCAAGAAATCTGATTATTCAATAAGNATCTTTTTTTATAATATTTCATTCCATAGATCTGATTATTCAATAAGTTTTAATAGTTTAATATTAATATAGTATTAAGTAACATAGTTTAATGATTAACCACATGAACTTTCTTCTCTAATTCTTAAGTGTTAAAAGCAGAAGTTATTGAACAAATTCAGAGGATGCCAAACTACAATAAGAATTTCATCATCCAGTAAGCATTTACTAAAATAATTGAGACTCCTGTGAAATTGAAATGTATATAAAACTTTAGCCAAAACCTAAAAGGCTAAAACTACACATCGAATATTAATTATTAAAGATGATTAACTTATTGAATATTAATTAAATGTGATCTCCATCTTTAATCCATCCAAAACTGTATCATTCATCAAATTGTCAATCTTCTCTGCAACTTCTTCCTTGGTAACTGATTCTCTGTCACAAAGATTAATTCCAATCTTCCAATCATCAACCACTAATTTCCTATTAGTAGGTTGATCATTTCGTAATGGATAACAAATCATAGGTACACCACACCATATGCTTTCCAATACGGAATTCCATCCGCAATGCGTCAAAAACCCTCTAATGGACAGATGTGAAAGCACCATATTTTGATTGCACCATTGAACGACCAACCCCTGATCTCTGATTTTGTCCGTGAATTCAACTGGCAAAACATCAGTATCTTCAAAGCTCACAATATCCCTTCTAAGCACCCAAATAAAACTAACTTTGCTAAGGAGAAGTCCATGAGCTATTTCTTGAATTATCTGCTTACTAGTTTGAACAAGGTACATGCTTACTAGTCTGAACAAAGCTACCGAACAACAAGTACAAAACCGAACTGGGAGGCTTTGAGTCCAGCCATGCTTTCGTGTCTGTTTGAGGCCATAAATTCTGAGAAATGACTGGTTTGGTGGAATCAGTCGAAAAATTTATAGGGCCAGTTGGCTGCTTTTGGTGTAGAGCTGATATTGCCTCAAATTCTAGTTCTTGAATAGTGCTTAGTAGGATAAAATATGCTTTCTGAACTTCGTCATCAAATGTCTTGATCACAATCTTCTGTATAATCCTTTTTATCTCAGATTCTTTAAGGAATGACATCAAGTCCCTTGTATTCATTGAAGAAACTCCGGGTATGTAATTTATATTTTCCTCAACATTGTCTGAAAGTCAAGAAAATTACATCAACGAGGATGAACTAATGGTGATCATGTTCCTCCCACTCTGTGTCTCACAGAAAATGGTCGGTTGAGGGATAAGTATGAAGTATGACTAGACTCCATAAAGTGCAGCAATAAAAAGAGGGGGAGATGAAGAAAACAAGACGTACCTTTACAAGGAAAATGACCATTTTCTCTAAGGAGGTCCAAGTGATAAGCTATGGAAAAAACTAATGCTGGTTCTGTCCAGAATGATACATTCACTAACTGAGAATTCAAATTAAAAAGTACACTAACTTGATAATCAAATAAAAATTAATGAGATTGCTTTTAAATAATAGCATGCACAATATGAGAACCAAAGTAGGCAGATGCACATCGTTGGGAAACCTACAGCTATGCCTTAACAATCAGTAACAACCCACCCCCACCCCCACCCCCACCCCCACCCAATCTGATTTAATGTTCAATTCTTTTTAAGAGTATATGTAATTCATCTTATGGTGTGATGTGAAATAGACATCATCTCTTCATTTGGATACCAACGATCTTGAGTTAAGATTCTCTAAAGTTAGTGAAAATTTATATGTTGCTCCTCCCAAACAATTGCACCAATCAGTATAATAATGGTATTACAGTGTTTAAGATAACATGAAATACAACAACTTTTTAAGTTCTCAAACATCTCATTTTACTTCATTGGGTAAATGCATGAGTATGTTGTGGTGTATAATAAAAATAAAGAATACAGAAATCTTCCTATATGCATGAGTATACACGAGTAAATGCAGTGTTGCACAGAAGCAACAATCAGATTGCTAACCTGAGCCAAAACCCATCATACAAGCCAATTGAATTCCAGCAACATACTTCATCCTTCACCAGGCAGAAGAAGTAAATTGAATTCTAGAAACACAAGTTTTATCCTTACCCATCAATTTAAAGGTTTCAGAATCTGTGTATAATTGGATCTGCAATTTCTATATTTTCTACATATGAAAGAGAAATTTCTATATTCTCTATCTACGAGATCAATAAACAAGGTACAACAATGACATTTGAAAACTTTGAAGTCTGTATTTGTGGATAATGGCTACTGAACATTTTTAAACCCAACCTCACCACCACTACAATCAACCAATCACCACCACCAGTCACCACCACCACTGCATACCATCGTCACCACCAGTCACCACTGTCAACACAACCACCACTGCAATTTCCAATCAACACAACCGAAATCGATGGGTTGAAAACCAATCAACACAACCAAAATCTAAAAAACCAAAAAGCCCCAAACTTGCAGATCGAAAAGAGAGAGAACTTCACCTTCGCAAAGATGGGCCAAACCACAGCAGCGTCGCGAAGAATGGAAGAGTCGCCTCCCTACGCCGGCTCCGGTACCGACGCATCTCCTTCGTGGGCGTCGACAAGATAAAATCGGATCCAGATGGAAGGAAGATAGGGGATGGATTGGAAGAAGATGGAAGAAATTGAAATTGTAGAAGTGGAGGGGTGAAAATTCTCATTTCCCGTGCTTGAAAACGAGCAAAATGATGCTTTTATCATATTGTGTTTTGTGCCCAAATTTTTTATCGTTTTCAGAGAACGTGTTTTCATTATTTTGGAAAATCGAAAACATAAATCGATCCAAAACGGTCAAAGAGAACGGCCCCTAAGAGTTTTGTTGGGACTTAAGAGCTTCCACATAAAAACACCAACAAATGCTTACTCACTGACACCAACACCGGCCTCGGGACCTTCCTTGGAACTCAACATTGCGACTGATGCTCCGACTCCTATTTCACTGGTTTCACCAACAAAAAGAGATCGAAGAGGACTACTCTGCATTTCACTGGTTTCATTGAATAATAGGGTTTAACTGAGTTGGGTCAGTTTTGGGCCAAACCAACCCGACCCACAATTATTTTAAATTTATTTTACTTGACCCAACCCGAATTTATCTCTAAATCGACCCAAACCAACCCGTTTCGAGTCGGGTCGGGTCGAGTTTTCGGCCTGTGGTTTTCAAGCCCAGTCCTACATATACCACCTCAAAATCCCAACATTTCCATCCATTCCATACAGAAGCCATAACCTTCCACCCAAAACCTATAACCACTTTTATACAGAAATTTTGAACATCACAAAATATTAGAAAAAATTGTATATACAACAGCAACAGCTTGCCAAGTTAGTTTTAAAAAAAACACTGTTCGTGTCATTGCTCACGCCCGAATTCAGTTTAGATTTTTTCATCCGTTACAAAAAAAAATTCAGTTTACATCATTGTGTTGTTGCTGCACTGTTTATCAAGTTTTGATGTTGTTCTTTAATTCTTTAAATACATTCAACAATCCGTCACTACAATCTCCCTAAGCCCAATATTGGCCCAATATCTCTTACACTCCAGATTAACATATCATATATACACTCACCAAGCCCATTTTATAACCAAGCAAATTCCAAACCACAAACACGTTAACCATTGAGAAAATTACACCTAGACTTGGTTTTAGAATACCATTTTCATAAATCATGAATCGAGTTTCACATTACAAAAATCAGGTTTTAATTAATAATTTAAAAACATTTTTTTATTTTAATTTTATATCTATATGTACAATATAAATTAATTTATATACACTCCCCTACCTTGTCTAATCCAACCAAACCCTAAAATACCCATCTCCTCTCCACTCTCACGCTGTCACTGTCGCCGTCGCCTTCTTCCACTCATCTCCCTCTCTCGTCTTCACTTTCCCCGGTGAATAATTCCGGTTATCTGGACTTCTTGATGGAGATTATTTTTGTCAATTCACCCATACAAGCTTTCCCTAGTTCAAAGCAAAGATAAAGAAAAGGCTTCACCACATAGCATCCACAAAATTATGGAATGAATTTCAGTCCCGATGCTGCCCTTGTAAATCTCCGATTAACTTCAAGAAGCTGCCACACGCCGTCAATGACATCTCTATCGCCACCATCCGCCTCTACACTGCAGACCAAATAGATTGAGAAGCCCCAAAATCAATTGTCTAATTCCTTCTTCGACGCTGCTTCGTCCTTGTCCTTTTTTGTTTTGTTTTGATATTTTGAGTGGTGCGGTGTTTGTGTTGCTGTGGGTGCGTGTGAGTGCGCGTGGAGGCAGTTTCGGTGGGTGTGATTGTGTGGGTGCGGCGGCAGTGGATGTTGACGTCGTGGTGTGGGCGGTGGATCGGGGAGTTGCGGATTGGTGGTCGTAGTTATTTTGTGCGTGCGGTTGTGGTTTTGGAGGTGGTGACTAGTGTTGGGAGGTTGTGGTGTTGGTTTGTATGGGATGTTGATGTTGGTATTGGGCGATGACGGTGGTGGTGCTGATGGTGGGGCAGTGTGGGCGTGGCGGTCGTTTTGGTTGATTGTGAGCAATTAAATAGATAAAATTGTGACTAAAACATGATGTGTGACCTACAAAGTATTAACTTGTGACTGATAATTTGATAAATTGTGACCTAAATAGTAAATATGATTTTTGATTAATTAATTTGATGTTTTGTGACCATAAAATAAGTAATGTGACTTGTAAATTTTGTGATTTGTGACCGATGAACAAATTGTGACTTTAAAATTTTTAAGTTGTGACTGATGAACAAATTGAGATTTTGAAATTTTTGAATTGAGACCTAGATTTTTTTGAATTGTGATCAAATTGATGTGACCTATGAAAATTCTGAATTGCGACCTATAAAATTTTGAATTGTGACCAAATTGTATAGATCTGTGACCTTAATATAGTAATATTGCCGGAGTTGGAATATTTGCCTGAATCGGAGCAGTCGCCGGAACAGTCGTTGGAATAGTCACCGGAGCTATAGGGGTGATGGAGGTGGGGTGAGTTAATTATATTATATTAGAATTAAATATTTAATAATAAATTGATTTAATTATTATTATTTCATAAATAAAAATTTAAAAAAACCTGATTTTTGAAATTTAAAACTTGTTTTTATATTTTTGAAATGGGTGAAAGTAAAATCATACGAATAACTAAACTTGTTTAAAAGTTTTAAGGGAACAATACATAAATCAGGTTTTTAGTAAACACTATTTCAAAATTAAGGATATAGGTTTTAAATTTCAAAAATCAGGTTTTCATTAAAATTTATTTATGATTTAATTAATTAATTATGTATTTTATTAATAAATATATAGAAGTCACAAATATATGAAATTTGGTCACAATTCAAAAATTTTAAAGTCACAATTCAAAAATTTTATAGATCACAGTTAATTCATCGGTCACAAATTAAAAATTTAAAAGTTACAATTTGTTCATCGGTCACAAATCACGAAATTTATAAGTCACACAACTTATTTTATAGTCACAATATCAAATAATATGTCACAAATTACTTTTATTGGTCACAAATTAATAAATTTGTAGGTTACACGATATTTATTGATCACAATTTATTCTTTATTGGTCACACGTCAACCAATTTATTGGTCACAATCAACAAATCATTTGTGACCAACACCAACAAAACACCAACGTCGTCTCCGCCGTGAACACCAACAACTACCATATAAAACGCACCAACACCACTGTCGTCTCCGCCACCAACACCAACACCACATAAAAGCGAAACATCGCGCCAACACCACCACCACAGAAACACACCACCACCACCACCGTCCGCCAACACCAACACCACCATCACCACCACTTCCCAACAACAAAATCAACACTAACAATACACCATCCCCACAACCTCACCAAAACCGTCGTCTATTTGACATAGCCACCAACAATCGCAACGCTGCGATCGCACTAGAACCACCACCATTGCCGCCCGCACCACCAAAAAAATCGCCGCAACAATACCACCACCACAACAAAAAACTCGACGCCTGCGCCACCACAACCACCAAAATGCGGCTGTGTCAAAGAGAGAGAAGAGAAAGAAGGCAGATCGAAAACACAAACCCTAATTACTCAGCATCTTCGCCGTTCTCAACCACCAACATCGCGATTTTGTGATCAATTTCACCAGCAATCTCTTTCCAATGGGCGGCGCTGCTATCACCGCCACATACATCATCGCGATTTTTTGACGTCGCTCGTCGGAGAGTCTCTTCTAGAGGGCAGCTCTACTACCACCGCCACAGACATCCACTGCTCCACCGAGTAGCATCACAAGTCATGGGAGAAGAAATTGGGCAAGCCGGCAATTTTGGCCGGTGGGTAGAGAGAGAGGAAGATAAAGTGAGAAGATAGAGAGAGATAATTGAATAGAAATGAATTAGGGTTTAATTTATAATATTTAAATATGTATTATTAATTATTAATTAAAATCTGATTTCTGTATTATTAAACTTGATTTTTGATTTATGAAAATGGAAATTTAAAACCCATTCTACTTGTAATAATTTATGAAAATGGAAATTTAAAATCCATTCTACTTGTAATTTCCTCAAAACTTAACCCTCACAACCCAAACATAAGGCCCAATATTGTGGCCCACCAATGCATACAACCTCAAAGCCCATATAATCATACTCCCAGCCACCGGTCCCTGTTCATCGTTCGGTACGCCTTCACCTCGCCCAAACCTGCACCACCTCATCGTCGCCAACCTCAACCCCAGTATATCGTAAACTGACACCTCGTAAGCAACCGCACTCAACCACCCTGCCACCACCACTCCTTATAGTCACAACCCACTTCTGTCGTCGACAACTCCATCCACTGTAAGTGTTATGCCCTCGGTCCAGTCAACTTTGAACATAAAAACTTTGAATATATATAATCAATGCATATATATGGATTTTGAAATGGGTGAAAGTAAATACATTATTTGTATATTGTTCCCTTAACCATTTATAAGTCAAGCCCTAACTCATTACAGGCCCACATACTATACCCCTTCCTACAACAGCCCACATATACAACCTGGCCCAACAATACAACAATCCTAATCAAGACAGCACCCAAAACTTAAGGGAACAATAAATAAATCAAGTTTTTAGTAAACACT